GGAAAGAAACAAACAAACACACACACCCCCACTTCAGCTCCGCTCCTCGCGGCAAAACTTGCCAGACGCGATGTCATTGGTCCGGGTGGCGCGATGACGTCACATTAGCTTGCTGATTGGTTTTATGGTTGCAGGATTTTTCTAACTTTTTTTTTTAATGGCGTGTTTGGTACATGTTTTTTAATTTTTTTTTAATTATTATTATTTTTGCCAAATGATAGTTCTACATTTATTATTACTCTTTATATCTTTTTTTTAACCTTCCTCTTTCTTTAAGATCAATTTCTACTTTTGTTTCTTCAAATCATCTCTATTTTCTTTTCTTAAAACTACCATGCTCTTGTTTTAAAGGGTACCAACAGTACTATTAATAAGAATTCATGATTTTTCATTTGATCTATTCCTGCGGTGATGTGACTTGATCCTGTATGTTCGATTTGTTACAATGCATATTGATAAATGACGCATTAGTTGTTTACTGCACTCTATTAATCACTTAGTCAATGTACTTGTGTTAATTTCCTCTTCTTTATTAACTGTGCCTGGTTAATGGCAGGTGAGGTATTGTCTTGTATATATGTTTGTTTATTGTGTGTATGTCTGTGTATTATCTTTAGTGTGGTCTGTACATACATGTATGCTGCAGGACCCCCATGAAAGTGAGATGATGCACCTAAGGGGAGTATCCTTTAATATATAAACATTTAAAATGAAAAAATATATCATTTAGAATGACAAAAGCACCTTCTATCTAGCAACTGACTTGTATTTTATAATATTTTTGCTTTTGAATTTAATTAAATATGAGTATATTGTCATTTTATATGACGTGTAATGACTCCTGATTCTTTCAACAACAGCACTTATTAAACAAATAAATTTTATGAAATAACTCTTAAACAAAGTGTTTTGTCCTTTTGCATCAGTATTAATACCCTCTTGACTTCTGATAGTGTCAATAACAACGATGCTTCAAAGTTTTACATATTATACTATAGGCCTATACTGCTAATAATATTACACTGTGTAATGATAAATCATGTGAAAGAGAGAAATCTAGGCCATTGTGTCCCACAGTGGGATCTCAGAGACCTTCAGAGGTCCTTGGCTTTCAGGGACTCCAGCAAAATGACATATAGTTTAACTTTCACCATCATTTCCCTGAGCTAAGAGTCACTGAGCTTTCAATGTGTTTCTTCACAGAGTTCTGCAAAAGTATGGGGTTACGTTGTAAAGAAAAACCTTTACAGAAGGGGAAACTTGAAGAACAGAAACACTGAACTATCAGTTTAGAGTAGATCTTCTTCTCTCCTAGAAAGTGGGATATCTGTGGTAAAATCGAACAGGCTATAAATATCTGTATACCTGTGACTGGTAATTTTAAGAGCCAACAAGCACAGGTTATAGATTCATGCATTTTGTAATGAGCTTTTAATGATGTGATGCTCACAGTTTTGAAGATTAACAGGCGGTCTTTCAAATATTAAAATCACTTTGTCATCATCATTTGACAGCCTCAGTTTCCATGGAGACACCACATTTCCTGTAACACCCATGTCTGTGCAAATGTTGATCACAGAGAAAGTATGAAGCAGAAATCATTTGGCTGTTTGAGGCTGCTGGAAAAGTGAGTTGCTGCGCAGCAAGTCCTCAAAATAAACCGAAAACGTATAGTTGAACTAAGTTACACTGACACTTTGTTTCCTCACCTCAGGAGCACCTTGAATAAGAGTCATCACAAGCAAAAATGCTTTTTTCTTACCAGTAAAGACCTACAATGCATTTTAGAAGGATGATTTGGGTATCAAACAATATCCTGTGAGAAATATTACCAACAAAATATTAATACCATGAAGCAGGTTAAAGTCATTTTAACCCACTGCAGAAAAACTAGGCTATAACTTAATTTAGCTATTAGAGTGGAGATTGCAATTCTCAGCAGGTTTCTGCAGAATCCAAATTTGAAAGATTTCAGTACACAGAGACTGGCCTCTCTGCAGCCTGTGTTTCGGGTTTTAAGTGTCTTATTCTCTCCTGCTCCAAGTCAGCTGAAGGTGCATCATGCCATACAGCAACCTTGGGCCCAGTGACAGCTCTAGTTTACAGGAACCCAGCAGAAGCAGCAGCAGGATATTTTCAGCATTTAGGCTACCAGCATTTCAATATGAGAACCCCGAGGAGGAGACGTCCTGCGAACAATGCAACAATGAATGATTCTGCTAAATGACAAGATATGCAGCTAACGGTGGTTCTGTTCCGGACACACACAAAAAGATGAGGAAATATAATTTTCAGCTCCGGTTGGATTTAAGTGGGCATCAGGCTCCTGCAGCCAACCTTACCGGCTGGCACCGCAAAGTTCAGCGTTACGTCGTCATTTCTGCAGGTCGGGCTGACACCCACATTAAGAAATGCGCAGCCACTACCCAAAATGTCTAATCTTAGCCACCTCTGCTGGAGCTGACAGACACCGAAACACACACTGGGAGCATATGCCGCTACGCGTCCTCATCCCTTCACCATTTACTGTTATTTCAACGCAATGCAAAAAGAAACATAAAGAGCTTTACCTTCTAAATTCAATGTCAGCTCTTGGGCTTTCCAGTTTGTTTCACTGTCCCGTTGGTTGCAATAATAACGCGTCCAACATCGCTCTGTGCTTCCTTGCCTCTGTTTTGCTGAGAGTCAGGGTGTGGAATACACACGCATGACACGTAAAGATGCAAAGGCATTTTTTAATGTCGCTTAAAGCATGCTCATTTCCTCTGGCGTCCAACACAACTGCTTCTCATAGATGATGATCAGGACTAGATTTATTTAGACACGCAAAAAAAATGTAGCTTATTTATTTCATTTTGGATAGTCTACTTCAAGATAACTTTTTAAATACAGCTGATAAAAGGCAATTTAATGTGCCTTCAATGTTTAAACGTTATAGAAAATTGTATTTTAATAGGCTATTTTCAGTTGTTGCGTTTGTAATGGACCACTCAGTTTGTACATGTTAGGTTAAATGTAACTGGAAGCATTTGCAGATACAATAGTTCCGTGTTAAGTCACTCTATCTATTGTATTGGAACATGGAAAAGTAACTGTGGGAGAAAAAGAAATGAACCAAGACAGACAGATGGTTTTAAAAAGTATTTTGTTATCTTGCATGCTGGGCTTGGGTTTTGAGAGTAAACAGATATATTGAAAATTCCTAAAATAGGCCTTCCTAATAAGTATTTTTCTAAACAGCAGCCTAATATTCAATTACAGCAGCCGCACAGAGTGTTACTAAGCCATGGCTGTGAAACATTGTTATATGTCAATACAACACACAAAGATTCTCAAGTAAATGTACAATAATGCTGCATAAAAAGATAATTTGTCAGTTTAGGCTTTTGAATTTCATATTTTTACTTTTCATTCTTTTTAATTGTTATCATCATCTCCCCCCTAACATATTGTTAAAGCAAATTCATAACAAAAACTCTAATACTTTAATCAATAACAATATTTATTCAGCACTTCTAAATGTCAGGTACAATTGAAATTATGTATCTTACAAATTCCCCACATTTATTGGGAATAAAATCCACTCTTGCAGCTCCCTTTCCTCCCAGCAGAGGCCAATAGAGACTCTGGAGTGTCAGAGACTGGAGTGCTGACTCACCCCTGCTAACACACATCTTCCTGAGGGGAGATTTACATAGAGAAGATGCCAAATTAAACCCCACCGTGATCCATCACCACAGCAGGAGATGTGGCACTAACAACCAGCCACACGCACAAGATACAAGTAAAGAGAGAAAGAAAGGAGGATTACAGATCCATTTAGACCCAGATAACTAAAAAGGACTGTCCTCAGATGACTGTGATCCAAGCAGTTACATTTCACAGTGATTTTTTATTTTTTAAACTATGCTGTAACAGAGCACCACAAACCGCAGCCTTGACCATGACCATAAAGTTGAGTCAACACATTTAAAACACTGGAGTTTATTTTCATTTCTTTATGTCTCTTTACAAATGAACCAAAACACTGACAAAGAGGAAGAAATTGGTTAGATAATAATGAGAATAAATATGAATCCAAATTTAAATGATACTCTAAATCTCTCTAAGCTAAAAAGAAACAAGGTTTTAATCGACACTAGATATTTAGTCAATGCTGATCCATAAAATAAAAAGTGCATCTTTGGATAGATGGGGAAAACGATGCTGAGAGGAAGTGCTATTGACTTTTCCAGCCCATAAAGAACAAATCGATTGTTAGTTAATGGTTTAAAACAAATAAAACACGACACCAAACTTATCTTCTAAATATTGTTATATGTATAATAGTTTAGAATAGTTTTTTAAGGCTTACATTGCTCACTTTGTTGTCAGTATAATGCCAACTTGCAACTTTTGTGGTGCAGAATGAGCTTATTCAAATGTCTCATGAAGACTAAAATAAGTTTCTTTCTGTGCTGACGGTGAGCCTTTGTTGTCAGTGTTACTCTCGGCTCAGTGAAGCCTTGTTTTGCTCATGATGGGAACAAAGAGGTGTCAGTTTAGTAACCAAAGCACATTGCCTGGTACTTCCAGTGACACTGATATAAAAAGAACCTTTGTGTGGCACAAATGACTTATTTTCAGCTCCTTTTGTTGGGCAGAGTTGAGTAAAAAGAACCACACGAGAGAGACTGTAAGTCTCATTGATTACACTAAATAACCTCAAATAATTATGTTATTTGCTGAAAGTGCTCACTATAGTTTTACAGATGTGGCATGAACACATTTCAGGATGTAACTTCATTGTTCATCTTCGGTTATTTTGAAACATTTGGAAACCTTTGGAAAATAATCTTTCAATAGTTGTCAATGGAAATAATATCTTCATCTTCTCGCTGTCTTCCTCATTATAAGTGACAGTGTGCTTCAGCAGTGTCATATAGGAAAATTAATCACCATAAATTCTCAGATCCCTCTTTTCCCTCTTGTCCAATCATATGCTGTGACATCAAATAGCCATATAACCTGCGATCCAATCAAATATCCACCATCCAAAGAGCCACACCCACCAATCCTCCCGTCTCATCCTGCACCGTCATGATGCTCGCTCCGGATGCAGTTGTCATGGAGATGGAAAAGGGCTCAGCGTCCACTAGCAGCACTGTTACCATGGAAATCCCCATCACAGCAGCTGCCTCAGTGGCGCGAGCAGAGGAGTCTGTTCAGCACCACGGACAGTACCGCACTGAGTTCCAGCACAGAAACTATCGCGTGCTGATTGTGATCGGAGAGATTTCCACCAGCTATCACCTCGACGCTGCCAGGAAACAGATCACACAAGGTAAGACAGTAGGGGAGTGGTCAGAAGACCTGGTGCTGCAGGGAACAACTAGCAAAAGTGAAGTGGTTTCTGGGCGTGAACCTAGAAAGACTCACTGCAGCTGAAAACATTTGGATGTTCTGTTAACCTGTAGTTAAGTTCATGTCATCTATTTTAAACTGACATGGTAAGTTGTAGCTTTTTTACTGTATGTTCACATTAAATTCACCAAAATGTCTTTCAGTATCTGTACATTTAAATTTTGGGGCAAAACAAAACAAGCAGTCAGTCATTTAGTATTTGTAAAGTGTGAAGAAAGTCTCATTTTGTTATTGGCCATCCAGTGGTTTCAGAAGTATCCTCATTCAAACCATAGTCAAAAAAATACTCCAGTCCAGGTACAAGTCCTGAGTTCAAAATGTTACTTATGTAAAAATATAGTATCAACAAAATTTACTTTAAGTATCAAAAGTGAAAGTACTCGTTATGCCAAATGGCTCTTTTCAGTTTTTTATAGAACGTATATCATCACTGATTAATACACGTAAGCAGCATTTAAACATTGTCATTTGTCAATGTAGGTACTTTATACACTACTGTATAACAGTATAGTACTGCATCATATTTTATAATTTCATCATGTCTTGCATGTGAAAATCTTTATCCGAAGAGTAACTGTTAAGTGTAAATTGAATATGTGGAGTAAAAAGTACAAAGTATAAAATACAAATACTCTACCTAAAATTTGTACTGAAGTACAGTACTTGAGTAAATTTACTTAGTTACTTCCCACCTTTGCAGAATTCAAGCTGCACATGCTCAAAATATCTTTGGAAATCTGTACATTTAAATTTCTTAGACAAACCTGCAGTAAGTCCGTCACTATTTGTAAAATGTGGGAGGAATGTGTTATGACACTAACTAACTAAGTCAGCTTCCTAATTTCCTTTCACAAATGTCCTAATTTCTTCAAATACTGTGCAGTCAGTGTTTGGGTTACATGCTGAAAACCCAGTGCAGCAAAATACTGTATGCACCCTCCAGTCATAAACTAAAACCATTTCCTTAGGAGAGCTCAAAAGCTGATGATACACGGGGCAACTTTTTGAGCAATGTTGCTGGGCAATCTTGCCAGTGGCAAGTCTGACTATGTTTTGAACGGATAGTGGCGGTGCGGGGCGGGTGGTGGAGTGGTGGAGTGGTGGGGGAAGGGGATTACGGTAGTAATCTTTACTCATTACCATTGACGGCAACGTTGCACGATTGCTCTAAAAGTTGCTCAATGTATCATCAGCTTTAAAGCTTTTTCAGTGGTTTAAATTGAACTTAACAACCTTCTGACGGATTCAGGTAAAATCAAAAATTTGCTGCTGTCAGAATGAAATGTGCTTAATGCACAGTATATTCGACTATTGATAGACATTATTAATGCTGTTCTATTTTAAACAGGTTTGCGTTCCTGGAACGTTGATCTGACTGTTTGTGACCTGAACAAGGAGCTGCAGCTTTTTGAGACCAGGCACACCGCTCAGTTTTCTTCACAGGTCAAAGGTCAGTCTGAATGCATTGCATTAGCAAACTGTACCTGCCTGGCATCCGTTTCTGTAATTCAAGACTATAATAAGAGACTATAATAGTCACCTTTGAGTTGTGATGGTATCAGAGTGTAGCCAGAGGGATTGAATGTGGTGCATCCTGCCTGTCAACTTATCAGTCACATCTGTTCCCATGCAGCAGTTCTGCAGTTGTGACGGCAGAGAGAGACTCTGACACACAGCAGATCAGATTGAATTCAGCTTGAGTTTGACAGAAACATGTCCTTTCTTCTCTGCATCTCTTTTGTCCTCTTTCTCCACACATGCATGAAGCAGTTCCAGGGGATCTAGAGACAATAGGGCTTGTATTGATCAGGCTGTCATATGCAGACCGAATGTCAGAGTGGGAATCAATAAGGGTTGAATGTGAGAGTGAACACTTACTGCAGGGGGAATATAAGATCAGGCCCTGCTTTATGAATGGAGCCAGTGTTGATGTGGATCTGGCTGGGAGGTTATTCCTGTGACTGTGGCTGTTCTCTGGGTGACTGCTTGGTAGATACAAAGAAAACACTTATAATAACTGTTTAGCATTTACTGTAGCTTAGTGGGGTCAAACAAACAGCTCAGAGGAGAAGATGCACTGGCAGAATAAATGGAACTGAGTGTTCAATGAGCAAGTGTTTGTTAAAATAAGTAGTTAGATCTTGATGCACATCTATCCTCCCACACAGCTCTTTGGCTGGAAGTGTTACATAAAGAGTATAAGCATATCTGTTGCTGACAGGTTCCACAAATAAAAAACAATATCTAACCATTTTACAACAATCAATTTTCAATAGTATTCCATCTTAAAGGAATACTCCACTCTTTTAGAATTGAACTTCCATAAAGTTGAGGGACTCAAGAGAGACATGCTCTCAACCCTGCACGCTTGTCTCAGTCTGGAACCACACCGGTTTGTTTTTTTACTTGACTAAACCTTGTGAACAGCCAAAAGAAATGATGGCATGAGCAGCATTAAGGAGTTGAGGGACTCATGAGAGACAGATTTAAAAAAACATTGGATCCTACATTTCCCATTATGCAACCAATAGCATTGCTTTGTTTCACCGTCCCTGCCTTGACATTATAAAACAGATTTGGGGGATCATTATCAGGTTCATCTCTGCGAGTGACTCATTTCACATTGTCACATTGATTTCATGCTTTTTTATACACTTTTATTGTAAAAAAAAAAAAATTATATTAATATCCATTATACAGCTTAATAAGTATGAAGCTAAAGCTGGGAGGTGATTTGGTTAACTTAGCATAAAGACTGGAAAAATAGGGAGCAGCTAGTCTAGTTCTGCCCTAAAATTCATAAATCTGCGACTAGCACCTCTAAAATTCACTAATTAACACATTATATCTTATTTGTGTAATCCATATAAAAGGTAAATATAAAACAACAATTTGTGGTTTTATTGGAGGTTATATGCCAAACTATTTCTTGAGTCCCTGAGTCGTGCTACTGCAGTTAAAATACTGCTGGCTGTAGCCGTATATTAAGCTGAAAGCTAAAACATTGATGTGTGTGCATAACGTATGACGGGTCAAATTATTCCTTTAAATCTTGAGCTGGAGCTAGGATGCAATTAGCCTAGCTTATCATGGAGACTGTCTTAAAATGTTGAAAACTGGAACCGTTTGTCCATTGTCATTAAGAAGTGTGTTTTTTAAGTATAACTGACTTGAAGAACCGTTTTAAATGCATGTTGCAACCTTTTATATTAAGGTTAGAGGTCAAAATTTTGCCATTTGTGTTTGCAAGTTACTTGATGCTTTTTGTATCGACCCGACATAATTTTTCATTATGTCTCACTATCATAATCCACTCAGGATGCACAAATCCACAGCCTCCTCTGGATCTCATTAACACCACGTTTTCAGTGCATTTCAGATGGAATATTTAACAGTTGTATCACCTTTCCACCATCTTTTAAATGTAGCAGCCATTAGAGTCCTTGTTCTGACTCCCATTGTCCTGGCTGTATTCTAGCTTTTCTGGCAGCAACTGCATGAATAATTCAACATTCACCATTAATGATTCTTTTCTGATAAATAACAATTATTTCCAACATTTTCATACTTTTCTTCTGTCTCAGCTCTGTCGAAAATTTGTCCTACTTCTCTGCTGTCTGAACCTCCTGCCCTCCCTCTCAGTCAGCACACTCTTTTTTCCTTATCTCTCTCCTCGTCCTGCTTTCTATCCTCCTGATGGGGTGATTTTACTGAAACAGACAGAGGCTTGCTGAGTGTCACTCAGTGCTGCTGGAGACTCAGAGATACAGAGAGCATCATATTGGCTACAGCCTGAGCAGACATGCTGAAAGGCAGAATATTTTCATGTCAGTTAACCCTCACCTGCCGGTGCCAGGTATTCATACCTGTTTAAACCTTGTAATCCAGCTCAATATTCTCTAAACATGTAGAGGCTATATTATTTGTCAGTAATGAGTTGTACTACTTAGGATAATAATAAAATCAACTTTTATTGTCACATACAATTACACACAGTAAATGCGTCCTATGTGTTTAACCAAGCAGTGAGCACCCAGGTGCCTTGCTCAGGGGTACGTTTGGCAAAGATCCGTGTTGGACTCGAACCGACGACCCTCCAGTTTCCAAGCAAGGAGCAAATGAGCACCCCCTTACAAAATCAGTGTTCCCTGACCGGGAATCGAACCCGGCCGCGGCGGTGAGAGCGCCGAATCCTAACCACTAGACCACCAGAGAATCAGAGAAGAATACGATGGCTCCAGCAAGTAACGGAATAAAATTGGTGCAGATAAAAATAAAATTTTTGCAATGCCCGTGCACTTTGCTTTTAGTTGTAATCGCTACACAACAGTTTTACTTATTGAGATGGTAACTTACCTCAAAATGTCTAACTGAGTCAAATTCCATGTCCATTAAAGACGTTCGCAGCTAATAAACAGTTTCTGGTAATAATTCAAACAATATCAGAGCCAAAAATTAACTTTCAAAATGCACTTGCACTTAAGTAATCTGAAGACTGTTGGCTTTCATCACTAACGTGCGTTCTTAAATCTCATATAAACGAGAAGCCAGACAGTGAGAGCAGATTTCATGGCCATGTACAGGTAGGCTATATAACGTTACTAGAGATATGTGCAGGCTTTCTGATGGGGTTGAACATGCATACATTTGCATGACAAAGACACGAGAGAGTGAAAGTGTCGCTGTGACAGCAGTGTGGCAGAATGAGAGGAATATTCTTTACTCGTGGGAGGTAGCCTATTTGTATCCAAGTAGGCTAATTCAATCTTAAATCAAAGTAAAAAACACAAACGAACAATGAGTTAAATAGTCGCTATTGTGAAATTCTTACACATATTGTATGTGTATAGTAAAAATATAAAATTTGGTTGCTCAGAGCGCATTTACAGAGCATAAAAAATTTAAACTCATACACTTCAGGCAGCATTGTCATGTCAGAAATAATAAACTTAAAACATCAAATAAATTAACAATATAAATCAAAGTATATCAAAAATAAGGAAGGGGTAAAGTGATACATTTGATTACTGACCTGCTGTCTTCAAATGTGAGTTTTCTAGTTGCCAAGTTATTCCAGTGCACATAAATAATTTCTCTGATTTTGTTTTTTTGTGTGATTTATTGGTCTATTGTTTGCACTTAAACACAGTGAAGGATGAGCACTAAAAAATTTCCACAGAACTTAGCAATGTAGATGAAAAAGGGTGAGAAACTCTGCAGTACAACTGCAATTTGCATAAATTGTATCATGGGGCGCTTCATCACAGTTAAACAGATGCTACTGATGCTATTGATTATTCTCACTCTTTTTCTTTGATTGCTGGTTCAAAACTATTCACTCTGCCTCACTGATCAAAGACTGAAAAATCAGTACAGAAACCCCACTGCAGTAAACTATGCGGGTAAACACAGAGATGGAAGCATCATATGAACATACAGAGATACGTGCTGCAGCCTAAAGCCTCTCAAGGTCACTAACAGACTGCTGCTGTCATCTGCCTACAAAAGCAACACACACACACAAACAAACAAACAAAAGCTACAGAATTGTGTTTCAGTAATTTGCAGGATTTGTCTAGACAGTCTGTGGACGCCTGCAGACAAGCAGAGAGAACATCAGCCTGTCCAGATTTTCCCATTTAAGTAATTTAATATAATGTAAGACATTATCAATGCATTGGATCGTTCCAGTAAATTGCATTATAGTACATATAGAATCCACTCTGCACTGCTTTTCACTTCATTGTTATATCACAGGTATTGTTATCATGTTATATTAATAATAATTTTCAACTAAATCCTGCTTACATGGTGCTTTCTTACCAGCTGGGGAAAAGATTAATTTTAACCCAAGAGTGCATGTCTTTAATATTCTGATAAACTGGATGTTGGAGGGATTTGTACAGCTCAACACCTCTGTGGTATTTGCTCATAAAACCAGAGTATTGGGGAGGAAATTACATTTTGACCTGACGCTGGCGCTAGATGGAAAAAAACAGGATCACAAACAATTCAATCTGAAGGGGACATGAATGTGTCTGCTAAAAATATCATGACAAGCTATCTAAAAAAGTTTGAGATATTTAACTCAAAACAAGAAGCTAGAGAAGTCAGTAGGATTTGAGAATGGTCTTTACAACATTCTGAGCTAGATATTTCCGTCTGCACCAAAGTGGTGGACCAACCAACAGTGCCATCACTAGAGCCTGCTGCTAGCATGGCTAAAAACTGTTTATTGCATAAAGCAGTCTTGAATAGGACTTAGTTTACTCTGGTCTCAGTCTGGACCACACCTGTTTTTTCTTATGAACAGCATAAAAAACCTTCAAAGACAGTTACATAAAGGTTTAAAGAAGATTGTTTGTGTCTTTAGGGATTCAAATCAGGTTCACACCAGAGGGAAATGAGCAGGTGAAGTAACACTTCAGCTTAACTATGCAAGTCTGAGCT